TACATCAGATATTTGTCCACCAGGTCTTAATATCCTTGAATTTAAAGATAATTGGGCACATTCAAATGGAAGATTTGGTCTTCGTATTTTCTAAATGGCTCCAAGGAAATTCCCTTGTATAGATCCAAATAATTGGTCTAATGATTAACCATTTATAGATAATCCAAGTCTTCAAGCTGTTTTTGAAAAATTCTATACATGGAAAAATAATGAATGTGGTATTTTAGGAGAAGAATTGGGAAATATTTATTTCAAAGATATAATGATTGCTGATTCTAAATTTGCAGGATTCTAAGCTCATAAAGGTAATTTTTCAGCTGAAGGAGCAGTATTAGATAATGCTTTGATTGTTGGAAAATCAATAAATAATGCTAATCCAGATGATACTTATTATGATGGATCAAGGGCTATGGTTGTTCCAAGAACAAATGGATTTTTAGCTAAAAACATTAGAATTTATAATTATGGAAGTAATTCTGCTTTGATTGAATCATGTTCTGTATGCTGGAATATGAAATTGTGGGTATAAGGTGGTAAAAATACACAATTCTTGAATGTAAAAGCATTTAATTCTGGTTCAGCTAATCGTATTTATTGGTAGAAACATAGAAGAGAAATCTTCTGGGATTAAGATGGTTCAATTTCAGAAGTGGCAGGAGGAGCTTATATTATCCCATATAAAAAACATATTGATGGTATTCCAGGATGTGTTAATCATCCTGAAGATTTTTGGGATAATTCTATTATTTGTGCAATGAATTAAGTTACAATAAGGGATGTTTTAATTAATAACCCAACTCCAGATTAAGATTTTACAGGAACAGATATGAAGCTATATAGATTAGACAGCACAAATGTTGCACTCAAAATGGATCCATTAATAGATGAAAGTAAATACATAGAAGCTGAAACAATGAAAATTATTAAGAAGAGTAAGGATGTAAAATAATCATTTGCAAGTGTATTTGCTACTGGTTTTACTTATAATGTTCATTTTAAATTTGGAGCTAGTGATCCTTTAAGTATGGGTGTTTTTGCCTCTCCATATTTCAACTAAAATGATAAAGCTGTTATTTTCAGATTTAATTATTCTGCTAATAGAGAGACATTTGATGTTATGAGAAACATAGGAGGAAAGTTCCCCTTAAATTACACAAAAATAGAATAAATTCCAGATACTAACACATGCAATTAAGGAGATTGGTTTAATGATAGAACAAATAAATTATTTTATCTTTGTTTGTCTGGTAAAAATAAGAAGTAATATGAATATGTTGAGGTCAGAGGAGTCATTTGTAGAGAAGAATGTGATAGCTTAGGAGATGTACCATTAGAGGATGGATATAGGTATTGGAATGACCCTAATACTTGGATAGATAATAAAGTACCTGTTGAAGGTGATAGTCCAATAATTTAAGGAGGATATTAAGTAATTTTAGATATTGATCCTCCTAAACTTGTTAATTTAACAATATTGGGATCCTTAATATTTGATGAAAGAAAAGCATCTACAAAATTAGAAGCAGAAAGAATCTGGGTTAGAACAGGAAAACTCTTGGCAGGTAATTCAACTCATCCATTCCCTGGAAAGATTAATATCATTTTGAATGGAGAATTTGGAGATAATCCATTAGTAATAGATGCTAATTTAGATGTTGGAAATAAGGTTCTAGCAGTAACAAGAGGAATGGAATTATACTCAACTCCACCAGGAACAGTATGGACTAGATTAGCTGCTTATGCCGATGCTGGTGCAACAACTGTTACAGTTGCTGAATGTGCAGGTTGGGCTGTTGGAGATGAAATTGTATTTGGACCTTCAGGTAGTGATCCAGAATAAAGAGAAAAAAGAACTATTTCAGCAATTTCAGGATGTGCCATAACTTTAAATTCTTCCCTTGAATTCGATCACTATGGAGCTCCTTCAGTAACTATTGATAAACCAGGTATTGGACAATTAGATATGAGAGCTGTTGTTGGTCATTTAACAAGGAAAATTAAGATTGAAGGAGGACCTAGTATTCATGGTTTAGGATGCAGAGTCTTAATATATTAATTTGAGGAGCCTGAAGCTAATTTAGGATTCCCAAGAAGAGGATATGCTGTTTTACATGGTGTTGAATTTAATAATTGTGGTTAATTTGATACTCAAAGAAGTGGATTAGATTTTAGAAATCTTAACAGTGAAATTATTAAGACTCCTAGTGAAGTTGTTGGATGTTCATTCCATGATACAACAGGTATGTTAATGACAGTTTAAAATTCATAATACATTACAATAAAGAATAATGTTTTCTTTACAGGTATAAAAGCATTGGTATAAATAAATAACAGTTAATATGTGAAGTTCTAGAATAATGCATTGATCTATGTTAAAAAGAGAATATTATCAGATGGAGGTATAGCTAATTGGGCTGTATTTGGTAACTTTGTTTACATGGATGAATTAACTCCTACTTAAATGACCAGAGATATTGTTGATGTGTCTGGAAATGTAGGATAAGGATCTTAAGATACAGGATTCTTTGTAATGGCTAGTAAATGTTCAGATGCATATTAATCATCATTCTATAATAATCACTGTTCAGGATCTGTTTTGGCTTGTTTTGGTGTTCGATAAGATCCAGAAGGTTAGTGTTCATACATATCAGGATTATATGCACATCACAGTGAAGTAGGAATTATGTATGCAGTATATAGTGAGTAGATTCAACTTGAGAAATCAATAGTTGTTGAGAATGATAGAGGTATAGCATTAAAGCCTGCTCCAGGTAGTATTTAAGATAATCAAATGAAGCTTAATAATATCTTCATTTCAGCTTTAGCTAGACCTGATTGTGTGAAATGTTATTCAGCTTCTCTAAATCCAAACTGTAGGGGTTCAATGGGTATATAAATGGGTACTTTATCTTCATCAGCATTCCCTCCAATATCTTCTAAACCTTCTTCTGCATATGATACAATATGCACTGTCTAAAGAGTAGATTTGAGAGTTTATTTAACTAATGTAGAATTCCACAACTTTAGATTAACATATGATAATATTCCTAGATGTAAGGATAATGCAGCTTTCAGATAACATCATGGAGCTCATGATATGACAGGGTAACATTATTTAGTTAATTCACCTTGTAATAATTGTGAATTCAATGCATTATTATACAAGACAAGAAATCCAAATTATGCAAAAATAGGATGGTTTGGTGGATGTGGTTCATTTGAATGCACAGGATAAATCAACTTTTTAATAGAAGATTAAACTGGTCACTTCTTTGGAGAAATCGGTTAAGGTATTGGTAATAATACTTACTTTGGACCAAATGTTACTTATTGTTAACGACAAGACTTTTGGAATGGATATTGGTGTCCAGGTAGAAAAGCTACAGTTTTGATGTTTATGAGTACAGCAGCAGATTATAACAAGAGATTATATTCACCAATTAAATTGACTGATGGATTATTCTTTAATGAAATCAATAGTTACTTTGAATGGATGTGGGATGGACCTGAACCATTAAATTTAAGAGAATCTAAATTTGTTGGTTTAATATCTGTCAATTCAGTTATTAATATGACAAATGCTGGTATGAATCCAACTTAATCTGAATATTGGTTATCAAAAAGATCAGAAGCAGGTAGTCCAGAAGATTGGGTTATTTTGAAATGGTAATTCTCTGTTCCATAAATTATATAAGTTATGGTAAATAATAAAGTAGTTTAACCTGGACTTACAACTCATAACTAACATCATGATCTAATGACTATGACTGATAAATGTGGTGCAAATAATTATTTCTTTGAAAATAGAACCATTCATTTTGTTTTAACAGGAAAACTAGATTGCAAAATTAGAATAGCATTGAAAAATACACTCTAAGTTTCAACAAGACTTGAAATTACTACTTCTTAATTCTTTGGTGATAAATTCTTACAGTATGCCAGAGCATAATTAGGAGGAGATCCCTACAATTATTTCATTATTGGAACCAAAAAATACAGAAGAAGATTTTTATCAGAAGAAGATACAGAAACAGTTGTTGTTGATTGGGGTATTGCAGACTCTGCTGAAATTGGTACTTCTGAAGGCAAATAATCATAATCAAGACTTGCTGAATTAGCTTCTAAATTAGAATCCTTAACTGTCTCAGAAGATTTAAAATCACTAGGAGTTGTTGGCCTTAAGCATGAATCTACCGCCATTACTTCAATCTCTGAACTTAATTTCAAGAGCACTGAATAAACTTCAGGTAATTTTATTATTTCTATTTTTAGAAATCATTTTAGTGCCAGGTGGCAATTCAGGAAATAGTGGATCTGGAAATAGTGGAAACAACAATGGCAACAATGGCAATAATAATAATAATAACAATAATAACAATAACAATAATAATGGTAATGGTAATTCATCAAATAATGATGATGATTTAGTTCTAGTAACTGATGAAGGTGTCAATCAATAAGATAGCTCAAATAATGGAAATAATAATTCTTCTAATCCTGGAACTATTTAAAAGTCTATCAAAAAATCTGAAAATAGTTCTGCTACCGTAACCATAGTAGTAGCAGTTGTTTGCTCTGTTGTTGGAGTATCCTTGATTATTGCTGCTCTTCTTTATTATAAGAAACTCAAATTAGCCAAGATTATGGCTGCCAGAAATCAAAAAGTAGATAACGAGTTCTTTAAAGCAAATATTACCGATCAGTAACCCATAGAGGCTCCATAAGATTGATTGATTAAATATAGAGAATAAAACATTAAATTTAAATTTTTATAATCTTTAATGATACTCAAATAACCATATTCAAAGACTATCATTTTTAAGTATATTATTAAATTAGAAACATAATATAATCTATGTCAATTAGTCTTTTCAATAAACCTTCATATTTTCTTACATATGAGCCAATTGTATAGAATATAAAAGAAAAAGTTATAACACCATCATTAATGCTGGAATTTAAATATTAATGAAGTATTTATAAAAAAATTTAATTTTGTAATGAAAGGAATTTAGTTATAGAACTAACATAAAAAAGAAAATAAAATGAATATTAAAAGTTTCTACATCAACGGTTTAATTGGTGAAGGTATTATTGAGAATAATAAGCTAGGTGCTTATTCAGAAGTCTATGAGGCAATATACTTAAAAAATAATAGGAAGGTTGCCATTAAAAAGATTTATAAAGAATCTATTACATTATAAAACAAATAATGTGAGATATATATTGAAAGACATATGATGAAACAATATTCATAAAAACATCCAAGTACAAAATTTATTTAAAATCTTAAGGTTTGGTAGAATTTATTGGAAGCTTTTAAGATAAATAATTCTTATATTTTGTATTTGAACATTGTCCTTTTGGTGATTTAGGAAACATTATATAGGATGTTTATTAGTTTTACATCAATACTCGATCTCAAGAACTTGAATATTTCATTAAAGTTTACATCTATCAAATAACTTAAGCCTTAATATATTTACATAATGAGGGTATTGCGCATTTAGATATTAAACCAAAAAATATTTTAATTGATAAAAATTGCAACTTAAAATTGACTGATTTTGCAACATGTTTATTTTTCTAAGAAAATAAGCAACCACAAGAATTGATTGAATAAATTAGAAAATATTAACCAACTCGTAATAGTTCTCTTTAAAAAATTGAGAGTGAATCAACTTAAAATCGATCAAATTTTGTTGGAACACCCGAGTATATCTCACCAGAAATGTTAAATAATAGTAGAGCATCTAAAGAAGCAGATTTATGGGCTCTAGGTTGTATAGTGTATGAAGTATTGCTTTATATTTATCTAGTTTTATCATGGATAATAACCTTTTACTGATATTAGTGAGAATGAAATTTTTAACAATATAGTAAATCTGAATTTTAAAATAGATGATTCAATACCAAATGATGCTTAAGATCTTATTCGATCATTATTGGTATTGAATCCATCAGAAAGATTAGGATAAGATGATTCTAAATTGATAATTTAGCATTAATATTTTTAGGACATTAAACAAGATTATATACCTTGGCAAATTGATATAGATATTCCATTAGAATATAAGGGTTTATTTTAAGAAATAATACCAAGCTAAAGTAAATCAAGTATTTTATGGGAGTTTGCTTCTGGAAATATTTAGATGAATTAAGAAATAATGAAGAAAAAACAGGACAGTTTAAAAACTATTACGGAAGAACTAAATGAAGCTATTACTCCAATTTCTAATGGATTAATAAAACCATAAAAAATCTGCTGTTCTCAATATTAACCAATTTTTAAACCTGAACACCCAATTATTCAATCTTCAAGTAATCAAGATGAAGAGTCAAATTTTAATTTAGTATTTAAACATTTTGACAAATGTATTGGTTTTATATATTTGAATACAAATAGATGGTTTTGTATTCCTTAAATAGCAATCCTAGTTGGATACTTAAAACCTCCATGTTTATTAATTGATTTTATCAAAGGAGAAAAAAAATATTTGCTTATTGACGATACCATAAAGATATCGAGTGATGGTGTTCATTATGTACCTAGTTTAGAAATTATAAGATTTTAGAATCTTCTTCGTTTTTTTATAAATTTAAGGATGCAGAAGCTAAACCAATAAATTGGATCCAGGTTGTTCAATCAATAAAAAATGAGTACCTTAATAAATGATTTTTATATTTATTACTGTTTCTTTTATTATTATTAATTTAACAATATTTCAATTCAAGATAATCTCATTGAGAAAGCACAAACAAGAAGTTAGAAATACAAAAATGAAAAAGAAAAACCTGAATCTATCCTAAATTTATGATATTTTAAAAAAACTCAAATATTTGAGATAATGATGATTTTTTGAAATAGTTATGATAGTATTATTGATCTTTATAATTAAAAGAACTAATTTAAAGTCTTTATTAAAAATAAAACATAAAATAGTGGAAAACTTGCAATTATTTATTTTTTAAAGTGTAATAACTATGATGATGAGATTTCATATAATTATTTTATAAAATAGTAATTAATTTTTAGATATAATAATTGAAATCTAGAATTTATAATTATTATTTAAATGCTATATTTTTTAAAAAGAAGTTATATGTTGCTTATTTAATATTTGACAATTTCTTATTAATATAATTTCATAGAAAACTATATTTTTAATTTGAATTCTAAAAAAAGGCTTTAAATTTTATTAACTTCCATTAATCCCTTTCTCTCCCTGTAGGAAATTCCTAATTATTATAATTATTTTACAGATGGCATCGTAAAAAATTTATATCGATCATCTTTATGTTATTTTGGAGTTTTCCAATTATGACAAGCCTTGCTTGGCTTTTTTTCTTTTTTTTTCTATTATTATTAATTACACAGAGGCATCTTAGTATCATTAGCATTTTAAAGTTAGATTTGGTACTATAAATAATCTGATAATTGAGACATGCTTTAATGAAAAAAATTAATAAAATATAAGTTAAAGAATTTTTAATAATTTATCTTTGTTAGGTTTTTATGTTTTTAATGATTTCAATATAAATTACATTTCTTAAAGAAATTTTAATAGAATCCTATAGACTCTGAAATTTTTATAGATTAATAGTTTCAATAAGAAAATATTTATGTATAATATATATTGTTTCATTAAATTTATTTTCGGGTATATTTTTACACAAATGTTGAAAAATACATGTAAAATTTATTTATGCATAAACTGACTTAAAGATTTATAATAGAAATACCAGACCATGAGTATAATGAAGGGAAGGTTTTCTATTTGATAAGAACAACAAATATAGAGACTAATATTACAAAAGAAGTGAAAAAAAGATATTCAGAATTAGAGTTGATTCATTCAAAAATTATAGATTGGATAAATATTTTTAAAATGAATATTCCTTAACTAAACTTTCCAAAAAAAAAAATACTATTCTCAACTAATATATCAGAGGAAAAAATCATTAATAGGGTATTTAAATTTATTTATTTAAGAGAACAGAACTTCAAATATACTTAAATGATGTTTTCTAGCATTCAGATCTCTATGTGTTAGATGCTCTTTAAGAATTTATGCCTCTCGAGAAGAACTAAAATTTATAAGAATCAAAGTTAACTAATACAAATACAAAATCAAATATGTATTGGTCAGAAATCGAAGAATTGAAAAAGTCATATTTAGCTAAGCATGAAAATCAAGTTTTTTCTTTATCTTAATCGAAATAGTTCTATGAAAACAAGTAATTAAAATATATTATCTTATTTAGATAGTAATATACTTTCAAATTTGAAGATCATAAAATATATAACAATTTTGCTATATATATGATTTCTATTAATGATCATCTAACAGGAAAAAATTGGAAATTTAGTTAAAGATATAAAGATCTAAGAGAGTATGATCATTAGTTAAGAAAAATGTAATTGCCATTTGTGTTACCTGAATTCCCAGAAAAGAAATTTATTAATTTAGATGGTGATTCTGATTTATCAGAAAGAAAAATAGAGTTAGAAAACTATCTAAATTAATTATTTAAGTATAAAAATATTTTAATATAAAGATATCCAGAAATAGTTAAAAGTGATGCAATGGTGTTTTTCATAATAAAAAGTTAATTATATTGTAATGAAATTGGTTGCAGATCTAATGGTTAATTTAAAAATTTAGAATTCGTAAGAGTGAAAAGTAAATCTAACGTAATTAATCAAAAAATCAATGAGGAAATAAAGATTCCTAGAAAAATTACTTGTTGAATACTAGTACTGATTTGTATATAGATTTTTTAAAAAACATACTAAATTTTTGTTAATTCATTAATGCATAGTTTGATAAAAAAGAAAATATAATAATTATATAAAATAAATTTTAAATGAGAAGAACTATGGAAGTGGAAGAATAAAATTTTGAAGCTGAAGAATGGGGAATAGCTTAATAAATGCAAAGAATTTTAGGAGAAATTCACTATTTAATGTCTGAACAAATAAGAAATATTTAATATTATTCAGATCATCCAAGAAATTATTATTAAGTTAAAACTTAATTGGAGAAAAAAGAGGATAGTGTAATTAGTAGATTAGATAATTATAAAAAGTTATATTAACAATATATAGGAGGAAAGCAAATTTATCATTAAATATCTCAATTTATCAAAGATAATAAATTACTTAACTAGAAAATCTCAAAATTATTATTTAAAGAGCACTAATAAATTTATTTAATAGTTGATAATCCTTAAAATTAAGGTTATGAAATTGAAGAAATAAAAGATCCAAAATATTCGAAGGAAAAAGAAAATTAGATTATATATTACAGAAAAAATGATCATAAATGGTTTTTTATTAGAATAATTAAGAATTTCGATATCATAAGAATCTAAGTTTAAAACTAATTTTAGGCTTAGATAATTGTTTCAATACTTGATATTGAAGTATTTTTGTGTGATGAATCATAAATTATGGAAAAATAAGATAAATAGCATGAACTTGATATTATGAAATAAGTGAATTAATGGTTTAAATAATTAATATTTAATGTTTAAAATAAAAAATTATACAAAAAATATTTAACAGAAATAATTCAATATATTGAAGAAACTATGAAGATATTATTTATAGGACTTAAATGTGCGACTTGTAACAAAGTATTTCTTTAGACAGAGGATGGAAAATTTGTATAACCTTGTGTAAAAATTAATGAAAATGATCAATTACATCATTTTTCTTGTTTGTTTAAATGATTTATAATATTTTCATGCTTTATTAAATTATTTTCAAAATATCAAATTTTCTTAATTTAAAAATATTTTTAAATCAGATAGGAATAATTATATTTTATTTATGTTATGAATTAAAAATGGTAATTTTGGTTTAAAAAATTATTCATCAATGCTAATTTAAATTATAGAGAATAATGAAGAATTCAAAATATTTTAAATTCTTCTTAATTATAATAAAAACTAATAATTAAATAATAGTTAGATTAAATAAATTAATTTATTTTTGTATTGTTAAATAATATTCATTATTGAATCCAAGGATGCATAAACATGATTTAAGAAGAAGGCCTTTCAAGAGGATCCCACTTTAATGCAAAGAGAATAAATTCTTCTAATTTTTTTGCTTCATCTTCTAAAAATTCATAATCTTCAACTAAAGTAGAACTTAATACAACTTTTTGCAAATCCTTTAGCTAAAATATAAAAATACTTAAATTCTTTTTAATTGTCCATTACTTTCAAAATATTAAGAACTTCTTTTACCTTTAGTCAAAAAGCTTTATGTTGGTGGTCCAATCAATTCTATCATCATTGCTAATAAATCATCCATTTCTTCTTCTTCACTATCTCCTTCCGGTTTGAATAAGTAATTATTTGTCAATATTTCAAAGACAACACAAGCTAAAGACCATATATCTGTATTTGTTGAATATATTGCTTATATAATTGATTCAGGAGATTTATATTCTTTAGTTTGAATTTCCTCAAATTATTAATCAGTTTGACAAGCATTTCCAAAATCTACTAATTTAAATTTAAGGTCAGTATTAATATTAATTATTACATTTTCTTTCCATATAAAGATATCTCCATTTTTAATACTATTGCGTTTAACTCTCTAAATATTTTCTCTTATTACATTTTTTTCCTATTATCAGTTTCATCTTCATTAATTAACTACTTTAATTATATCTCATTTAATTCAATCATAATATTTTCTGGCTTTATGTCAGTGTGTATAATTTAGCATACATCATGAACATAAATCAATCCAATCAATATTTATCTTGTTATTTCTCTTCCTAATTTAATATTTATACTAGTATTCTAATCATTATTATATTAAATACTTTCTTTTCATAAAATCTAATTAAATCCAATAAAGTAGGTCCTAAAATTTCCATTACAACACAATGATGTAATGTATCATCAACAATATGAACAAATGAATCAATCATTTTTACACAATGTGTTTCTTATTTAATGCCAATATTATTTTATTAAATGTTAAGCCATTAAGGTGAATTTTCATTTTAAATTAAAATTCTTTATTATAATTAAATAATACTTTAAAACATCTATTTCTTCTATGGCTGCATCTGAATATTATGAACTTTAAATTTTGAGAGCATAATAATGTAAATTTATTAAGTCTTTCACTAACCAAACTTTGGAAAATGTTCCATCTCCTAACCATTTAATAATTTAATATTAATTGTTTTTCAATTTTTCACCTATTTTAGCCTCATATTAACCGTCATCTATACTATCGCTATAGGAAGATTGATCTATCATAAAAATCAAATTATAATTATTAATAATAATAATATTAAAAATTATAATTATTTGGTTGATTTTTATTATATGTATAAAATATATAGATAATTAATATTATATAAAAATAATAATTAACAGGATGTTTAAAATAAACTTATTTTAGTAATTTAATAATCACTTTTAAAATTAATATAAAGTACTTTAAGCCAACGATGAATTAGCATCATCAGATTGTTCTTAAATTTCTATAAAAATAATAGATAGTATATTTTACCACTCATATTCAAATTTGGATGTTATTCAGCATATGATGAAGCTTCTTTCAATTGTAATTGCATAGATTAAAATAATTACTATAGATCATTTCTTCCAGATGTCATTGTAAAATCAGTAAAACATTTAGGTTAGCTTGCCTAAAACTATGATTAAGATTAGCTATTAGTTAATTATTTTGGATTAAAATCTTATTTTTTTTGAATTTATTATGGTTAATGTTATTGTCTTTATTGTGAAATAACAATATGAGATTATGCTTATTAAATTATAGGTTAGATAGGTCTTTTTTAATCAAAGGGTTATTATTAAAATTATTTTTTTGGAATTTATTTTAATTTTTCATGTGATATTTGCCTTCTTTTCTTGCTATATTAAAATATTTACATTTTCAAAATCTGATTATGTCACTATAAGTTCTATTTAATTATTCCATGTAAATTATTTATCATTCTATCCAGGACTAGTCAAAGTGCTTGTTTTTTCAATTGATTTTTAAATTACTTTTTTCTCACCTGTTTAGATTTAATTAGGTATTTAGGAACTTTTAATTGAAATTTAGGATGATGCATTCTATTTAAGCAAAATAAGTTTTCTATCAAATTATAATGGAGGCTTATTAGCTTTAAGTGGACTCACCTATAAAATTGATAATAAAAAGTATTCTTACTACTCCTGGTAATTGAGATTGAGTAACCGATGGAGTCAATTACTATTTTTATTAACTATTGCTTGTTTTAATTATTCTATGTTATTAATTAACATTTTCTGAAGGTGGTATAATACTCCTTAACTTCCCAGAATAAACTGGTTTTCTAGGTGGTAATGGAGAAGTAAGAGTTGATTATGGTTAACCTGAACCAGGTCTCTTTTTTTCTTATTGTTCAAGTATATTTTTTAAGTATTCAGCATCAAATTTCAACTTTGAACCTGATAATTATCTTTTTCCTAATGACATTATTTATTTTTAATTATTAAAATAAATGCAGAATAAGTAAGTGAAACTCTAAGACTTTGAAATACTCTAAACTCTTGGTACTGGTTCATTTGGTAGGGTAAGATTAGCAAAATAGAAATCAAATTAAAAGCCTGTTGCTCTTAAGATGTTAAAGAAATGTGAAATTCTTCGATTAAAATAAGTTGATCATATTAGTTCTGAATTCAAAATACTTAAACAAATTTAACATCCTTTCATTGTATATCTATAATTCATTATTTAGATTGAATTATTAGGCTACACATAAGATGAAAGATATTTATATTTTGTTCTAGAGTATATTTAAGGTGGAGAGTTGTTCACTTATTTGAGAAATGCAGGTACTATAGAAGATGATGAAGCATAGTATATTATATAATATTATTTAGGTTTTATTCTGCTTAAATTGTATTAATGTTTGAGTATTTACATTCAAAGACAATTGTATACAGAGATCTAAAACCTGAAAATTTACTTATTTAATAAAATGGTTATTTAAAATTGACAGATTTTGGATTTGCAAAAGTAGTTGAAGATCATACTTATACTCTATGTGGAACTCCTGAATATCTTGCTCCTGAAATTCTTCTGAATAAAGGACATGGCAGACCAGTTGATTGGTGGTGTTTAGGAATTATTATTTATGAAATGTTGGCTGGTATTTGAATATTATTTTAATAATTAGGTATTGATCCTTTTAATGATGAAGATCCTATGGCAATTTATCAAAAAATCTTAAAAGGAAAAGTAAAGTTTCCTAAAAATTTTGATAATGATGCTAAAGATCTTGTCAAAAATCTTTTAGTTTCTGATGTTTCTAAAAGATTAGGAAATCTAAAAAATGGAGCTAACGATATCAAATAACATAAATGGTATTAAACATTGAATTGGGATCAATTAATTAAAAAATAAATTAGAGCTAAATACTAACCTTCAATAAGGTTACTTTTATATTTATTTGTAGGTCTGAAGATGATACATCTAATTTTGCTGTTTATCCAGATAGTACCGAATTGCCAGATCCAATTAAATTAAATGATGATCCATTTAGAGATTGGTGATTTTATTAGTGAAAAAATCACTTTGATTGTTTATGCTTTGCAAAACAGCATCTATATCTATGATTTTCATATTCTCTATTAATATATGCTAATCTTCTATCTGTTCTATTATTCTTACTTAATTTATCTCCTAATACTAGGACTTTATCACTCCTATTTTTATTTTATAATTGAAAACTTTGAGTCAAAATATAAAATTATTTTTGAAAACTAATCAACTATTTTAAAATAAAAAATAAATCATTAATAATACTATTTAATTCCATTTTCAATTAAGGGAAAAACTTTTATTAAGAAATTTAAGCAGAACGTTATATAATAAAAGATCCAATTTTAAATCTTTTATTTAGAAGACATTATAGCAATTATTTTAAATGAATAAAAAAGAAAGCTATTTTTTAATAGATAATGTCTTATTCAATTCACCCATGTAGATCATTGGAGATTAGTTTGATGATTTCGATTAAGTAGCAGAAAAGAAAAGTTTAAGTTTTAATTTTTAGGTGAAAGTAAATATAAGTTATAAAAATAATTATTAGAAAATAAGAAATCAAAACAGCTTCACATCTTTTAGATTAATTATACAGTATCCTCTAGAATTAATAATAAAAGAAGAATTTACTATCCATTTTTATTTAAATTCCTTAATTTACTCAATTTTTAATTGGTTATTATAATAAATTATCTCAAATAATAAATAATATTCGCATAATTCATAAATATATTTATAAATGGATTGTTTATTAATTATTCAATTTTAAAAAATTATTTTTTCTGTTTATTGTAGATTTATTTATTTGATTACATAAATCTTATTCAAAAAATTTAAAATAACCTAAAATGATTTTGAATAAAAAAATTGGGTGAGGAAGACATAAAGTTAATTGTCATAATATTTCTTTATTCTATTATGAAAAAGTTTTTATTACAATTATTTTTGTTAACTTAGCTAGTGATTGATGTTTGATTAACAGTGTTGATTAGAGTTTACATGATAGATGTCAGGTATTTATAGTGTGAATTGAGCATTAAATAAATTGAATATATTTAAAAGTAAGTTTTTTAAAGTAGAATTATATTTATAAGAATCACGCCTGCATAATTTAGATAGATTTATAATTTTTATAAGTAAAATATTTTTTTGATATTTATGAAAGTTTTGGACAATTAAAATGAAGATTTATTAGTAATTTTTTAGGTGAACTTTTGGTTGAAAAAAAAGAGTTATGATAGTGAAAAGCTTTGTATTTTTTTAGGATGGACAAAAAGAATCCAATTAAATGCATTTAATTAAGATTAATAAGATATTAGCATAGTATCACATTCCTAAAATAAAATTATTCTTATTATCTTGTTACTAAAAATAATATAAGGAAATTCTTTGAAATTACATAAAATTTTAAATTAAAATTTATGTTATGTAATTTACAATATAAAAATAATTTCAGATTTATTCCTCATAAAATTATGGAATAAATAATCTATATAAAAATTATAATAATTCATTCGAAGTACTATATATGAATCTTTAAATCATTTGTAGGCATTTTAGATAAGAATTAATAAAAAACATATTATTTCTTTAATTTTAATGTTCATTTAGAAATATAAATATATTAAATATTAAATAATACTCTTCATTTAGAAAAAAAACAATATCTTGAAATTAAAATCTATTTTATACAATACCCAATAAATGCAGCTATTATTGATTAAAACAATAAAATTTGAAATTGAACTAAGAAATCAAAAATTTTTTTAATACTCAAATCATTATTAAATTGTACTAGTTTTATAAATGAATAACTTAGTGTCTGTATTGTATGCGAAATTTAATGAAAAATAAAAAAAAAATTCTATATTAAGATTGAACTGTAACTGTAACATAGAGTAGTATTTTTATTGTTTAAATGATAGTAATTGATGATTTATGATCTAAAATTGAATAAGGTCTTATTTCCTCTTAAAAATTTAGAGTAAAAAATACGTTAAGGCAAAGAATGATATTAATTGAATGAAACATCGGTTTTTTCATTAATTTTTGCATTATTAAATAATTGAATAATAGGAAAAGTGAATAATAAAATAAAAAAAATATAGTAAATCACTAAAAATGTAAAACAAACCTTGTGATTGGATATGTGTTGAATGCAGAAACTTAAATTACTCATTTCGAAAGATTTGTAATAGATGTCAATAATGTTCGAGAGATGCTCCTGGAACAAGATTTATTCCAAATAAAATTGATTAAGGACTATAAATCTTATAAAAAATAAAGCTACAAGAATAAGATTTAGGAGGGAGCAGTCATAGCTCAGTAGAAAGCAATGATGATGAAGATGTTGTTTTTTCATAAGCATTATTCCTTGAAGATTTATCCAAAAAAAGTGAAAGCTTGAATAAGTCTTTTTCATTTTTGAAGAAATGTTCAATTTGTTAGTGCTAGAACTACTTTTATTAATAAAAATGTAGTCAATGTGGATTCTCTTAATTTATTTGATACCATGATTTTATAACTTGATTATTTCTTTTTATATCTTGGGGTTTATTACAACTTCTTTTTAACTAAATTCAATCATCATATATCTTTATTAGCTTTAATATCATCTTTTAAATTTATATAAAATGCCAATAAACTCATTTTATTTTAATTTAATTATAAACAATTAGAAACATTATAATTCGATAATAATCTACCTTGATAAGACAAAATGACTTTTCTGAACAATCAAATAATCTAATTGATAATTCGAACATTATCTCAAAAGTAGTGAAGATGAAAATTCTAAAGGTCATTCCTACGATCAAGAATAAATGAATTATTAATCTAATACTATATTGTTAATTTATATTATTAAGAAGATAAATAACATTTTTTGCTATGGAAGTTCTCATACTTCTTGATTGTCAATTAGCTTTTGAAAAATAAATTTTTTTTTAAATATTATAGTTCTTATCAATGTGAACCATAATAATTCTTAATTCAATAGTTTCCATATGTTATGAAATACAATTACTTCATCCAAAACAAAAGAAATATTTATGAATCCATTATTTTAATTAGTTGGTTTTTATTTAACTATCTTTTTGGTTTAAATTTATAAGCACTATCATTGTTTAATAGTGATCTAATATTGACTAAGAAATTTTCTAAAAGCAGAAGAGTTCCTTTTTAAACTTAAATATCTTTTTTCTAGATTTTTGATTTAACCTTAAAAGCTATTGAATAAATAACTGTTTGCTAAAGTCTCATAAATTCTGTTAAAAAGTCTTCAATGAAAACTAATTAGTTGAGATAATTGGAAGTGACACCCAAATTTCCAATAATTTTCTTGACTTAATTTCTTAATTCACTTAAATATTATTTATTTATTTACATAGAAAAATAAAAAAGAATTAGTAACTAGGGAATCAATTAATATGATTAATCTGAAGTATACAAACAAAAAAAAGAATTATTAATTAAGATAATATTTAGTCAGTTTCAATTCTATCAGAGATATATAAATTTTATTAAATAAATATTATTTAAAGTACAAATTCAAAAGCATTTATCCTCTAATTTGTGACCTATAATTAAATGTTATTCCTTCTTTATAAAAATACAGAATAAACTCAAGTAAATAATAACCTCTTTTTATATCTTAATGCAATTTTATGATTATATCTAAGAGTTCTTTTTCTGTTTTTTTATTATATTACCAAGATTTAACTTCCTATTTATTTATCATAGTAATTCTGTTTGTGTGGTTCTTTGGAAAAGAAAATAATCTCCAAGCAAATTTCTTAGATGTATTAATTTCAGTCTATAATTTGTTTTGTTTACTTTAAAAGTTCTAACTCTGATAAATTATTTCTTTAAATCAAATTTGAGATGTATTTCTAATATTAATATTAATCATTCCTTATAACATTGTTCCAATCTTCTTCTTTCTTAGAGTACTGAATTCATATTTATTTATATTGAATATAATTATATTTTTGTTTGCTTATATCATAGTTAAATAGTCAATATTATTAGACTTATAATTGAGTTGTAAAAGACCTCTCAAATTTATTGATATGAGTAGATTAAAAAGGGCTAAGGTTGAATTGATTATTTAAAAGAACCAAATTTTATAAATAAAATATGATTTTGCCAATCAAATACGATGAGTATAAAGAATTTGATGTGAATCGTTAATTATAGGATTAAGCTAGGGATTTCAGAATGGTGTAATAGGAGCTTCTTAAGTAGCAACTGTATGACTAATAGTTGGAAGTGGAGAAAAGAAAGAGATCTTTGACAACACAAAAATAAAGAGAGGAACAATTATATTTAGAGAATTTAAAGAGAGAAAAAGAAATGTAATACCTTATGGAAGGACAAAACAAACAATATATTAAAAAGGATTTATCAAAATGGTATGAAAATACAGTAAATAATTAAAGAATTGTCCAACAATAGTTAGTAATGTTATCTATATTAATAGAGATAAGAAAAATAACAGATTGAATAATAGATTGTTGATACTGCAAAATTAGGCTAAACTATGGCCAAGTTCTATGAATAATAAAAAAAGGATTATTATAGAAAAGTTTAGGATTAATAATATGGTCAGTTTTAGATTAAAAAGCTTAATGAATAGAATTCTAGAAAGTTTGATTAGGCAGTATATTAGGAATAAGTTCATTAAGAAAATACTAATATATAAAGGAAGTTAGATAATTATAAATAAGTACTTGATTAATAATATATTTTAAGTACTATCAGAATGTTTAAAATAGGTAGTAATAATTATAGGCAATGTATTTGTAGAATTATAGAGACCCAAAAGAGGGATTAGATGATATTATATCAAAGAATGTTTAGTAGAAGTAAGAGAAAGATGAAAAATAATACAGATATGAGAAGGAGATGGAAGGTATATCAAAAGAGAAATACAATTCAATTCTTTAAATGCAATTACAAGAATAATAACATAAAAGAAAACAAAATAAATTTGATGCTAAATTGAATGGATATGATCATGCGAATTCTGTATATTGGTACAATTTTGATAGACAAAATAATGTATAAATTTTTAAGATTTTAGATTTCAACACCAGCTAGAAGTATGATTTCAGAATAAAATCAATAATATTATAATCCTTTAACTAATCCAAATCCAAATCAGACTCAGAATCCTTACATACTAAAACAATTAGGAATGAATCTGAATGATTTACCTACTCCAGAATATAATAAATCTAAGTTAGCTTCAATGGGAAAGTTTTGCATGAATTGATATAAATTAAATGCGTTATTATATTTTATTAAATGAATTAAAGCTGTTCATATAAGTATTGTATCACTACTATAATAAATGATACAATATACAATTGTACTTATTGTTAGAATATGAAATATTGTTCACAAAAATGTAGAGACACAGATTGGTATATTGAAATATCAAAATAGGAATTTATCACATAAGAACAATTGTCGTTCAATAAAACTAAACAGTTTAACCGAACTGAATGATTCTGCATCAACTTTAAAATCTATTCGTAGATCACCTGAAGACTTTGAAATAATTATTAAGGATAATAAAATGGAATTAGGTAAAGGTAGTTATGGTTGTGTAAAATTGGTCAAGGATAAATAAAATGGTTAGATGTATGCAATGAAAGTGGTAAAACTTATTATTTAACATAGATGAATAAAAAATAAATATTTGAGTATTGTTCTGTTGAAAATCTAAAAAGAGAAATTAAAATATAAAGAAGATTGTAGCATCCACATATAACCAAACTATTTCATTATTTTGAAGACAAAGAAAATGTATTTCTTATATTAGAATTAGCAGGTATAATAAACTATATATTTAAGAGAATGGTAGTCTATTTAGCTATATAAGGAAAAGAAAAAGACTCCCAGAAAATGAGGCTTTTGTCTACTTCTTTTAAACATGCTTGGGAATTGATTATTTACATAAAAAAAACATAATACATAGAGATCTAAAACCAGAAAATTTGTTATTAGATAAATAAGGGAATGTTAAAGTATGTGATTTTGGTTGGTCAGCAGAAACTACTTAAAATGGAGTAAGAAGAACATTTTGTGGTACTTTAGATTACATGGCTCCAGAAATGTTGAAAAATTAACCATATAGTTTCACTTTAGATATTTGGTGTTTGGGGATATTATTATTTGAATTGATTCATGGTTTTGCACCTTTCAAAGGTAGAAATGAAAATGAAAAATGCCATAATATTGTTAAGATGACTCCAATAGAATATGATCTCTAAATTTCACCTGAAGCTAAAACTTTAATCTAGGGGATACTCAAACATAATCCTAATGAAAGACTATCAATGAATTAGATATTCGATCATCTTTGGATGAAGAAATTCTATAAAAGTTATGGCATAGATCTTAGATCTTATATGTATAAAGAAGATAAACACAATGATTCATCAAATCGATCGATTTCTCCTTAAAATGATGATATAATCACAAGATCATTTGTTACAAACCCTTCATAAAATACTAATTCAGATTTAAAGCCTTTATCGAAATCTTCTAATTATGTATCTCAATATAACAATAACAATGGAAAATCTACTGCTTCTACAAATTATAATTAAGAGGAAGAATTTAAGGCCAGAGTTAGTAGACTTTCCTAAAGATAATAAATGGCTTAAGGATTAAGAGAAATTTAAGGATAATAAATAAGATAAGAAGAATTAGGATTCATGGATAAAGTTTTTTCTGCATTTGGATGTTTAAGTAGAGATAAATAATAAACTCAGTCTCATAATTATTGAATTTATGTTATGTTATATTATATTATTATATTTATTATTCTTTTCTTCTTATTTATTTACATTGAAGTATCTTAATTTTAATTGATTTCATTTAGAATGAAGAGAATTTAATATCTTTATTCAAATATTTATAACAACATCTTAATAATTAAAAATATCATCTCAAATTTAAAAAGTATATAAAAAAAATGAAACGCCTATCTACCTATAAATTTTAAAATTTCCGCTTTTAATAACATTAATAATTTAAATTTGATAATGTTTCTTAAAGTAAAATAAAATAGTTTTTTATAATTAGAATAAGTTTATTATTAGATATAGATGGACAATATATATTTTATGTACAAGACCACATAAATTATTAATATGAAATTATGAGGTTTAAGTTTTATAGGTTTTGGGACATATAATAAACAAAATTTCTGCATTATAAAATATTATTAATCAAGAAGAAATCAAAATTATAAGCTAAAATTGAGGTATATCTTTTTTTATTAATAAAAAAAACGGAAGATCTTTTAAGGAGTTATAAATTGAATTTGTTCTAAAAAAACAGTTTTTTGATGAGAACAGATTTCCAATAAAACCCATTAAATATTATATAAAATAATATCAATAAATTTACACAATCTTTTGATGTTTTAAAATAATTGTTCTACTAGTAATGTTTAAATTCTATTAAAATCTGCAGATGCGTTACGTCATTCATAGTTATAAGGTGTAGTATCTTTGAAAGATTTTCATAAAATTTATACAAATGTAATCTTTAAAAAAATCCAACACACTGAAAGAATTTGAAAAGAAACTATCAAAAGAAAATAAATTTCTAAAGTTGGAACAAAGAAGAACAGTAATAACAAAAAATATTTTATTTGAAAATAAATATAAATTTATTGTATTTTTTAATAAAAATATGAGAATATGAATGAGAAACCTATATTTTAGATTTAATATTTATACTAATAGTTTTGAATCAATAAGAAATTATTAAACCATCTTTAAGTTGAATAAATACTTAAATAAAATGTTTTCAATATAAATATTAATTGCTTTCAAATATAAATTTACTATTTTTATTCTAATGTTTATTTTATCCAATACATGGTTTAATATCAAAAGTCTATTAAATTTATTTTAATAATAATGTATTATGTTAGGCATAAGGCCTGAATGTTTATGAAAGAGTTTTTTTTGATTTTGGTTTGAAATCTTATAAAATAGCTATAGTATTTGTTTTGATAGTTGTCAAAACTTTTGGAGATGATGTAAAAGAGCTTAGTTATCCATTAGGTGGAGATGTACAAGAATATGTTGGGCAATGATATCTAATTTTATTATTGAGTTCTGGTTATGATTTTTTATTTGATTATAATCTACTTGTTAAAAAGTGACCAATTTTGAAATATTGTTCTTTTAAATATTTTTCTTTTGCTAATTGAATTTTTGATTTTAACTAAGGTTTAGGCGTTAAAACAAGTTTAGGAGGTGTAACACAAGATGGAGGTCTCTCCATATTATCAAATTCTAATATATTAGATAATGTATTACCAATAATTGATTCTTATTTTGATAATTTTTTGGAAAGTTTTCTTGTTGTTTTTTTTCGTTATTTTCTTTCTAACATCAATGCAAAACTGGTTAAAGCTAATTCCTTTTTACTAGATTATTTATGTTATTCTATGAGGGTTGGATGATTACACATTTCTTTTTTAGTTAGTTCACCAAATAATTATCCATAAGTTGATTTACGTCTGCATTATTATTCTTATCTCTTTTCTATAATTTTAGCAATTGCATTTCTTAAGGGTTAGAGATAACTTTTGATATTTTTTTCATTTATATCTTAAAAGTATTGATAATCTTATTCGAGAGGTGGAATTCTTATTTGATGAGGTAGAGATAAATTTAATTATCTTGGTCTATGATGTTAGATTTTAAAGTTTTAACAATATAGGTTATTGACATTATTATGTTGTTTAGGATAAATTCTTCTAATTAAAGGTGAGAACATTGAGAAATCTCTAGGTTCTATATAAACTGATAATTTACATAATTAAGGAAATTTTTACATATAAATTGTTTTAATTAATAAGGCTTTATGTGAAATGAAATTGAAGTTATAATTAACAGATATTATTATATATGTAATGAAAATACTCAAGACTATCTATGCATGCCTATGGATGTAAAGACAATTAAAATAACTGATAATGATCCAAATCCTAAAGGTACTTAATGATATCCCAATTACACAATTAAGGAGAGTATAGTTACACAACCAGATAATGCCCAAACATACATAGAGGACAACTATTAATTAATCAATTCATTCATTCCTAAATAAGCAAGCATTTAAAGAATACACATAATTAAAATTTCACTAGATCAATAAGTAAATAATATTACATAAAAAATGTCATATCAAAAACATTCTACACGCCTCCACTAAATAAACTTAATAAAATGTAGATTGGTAATCCTATTAGATTAGTGTATAATAGTAAAGAAAACTATTACATTTATTTAGTCATCAAATATTTGAGAGTCTATATTAAAGCTAAACTTAATGGTTATAAAAGACATATTAGAATATACAAAATATTTCCACTAAATAAAATTGTTGAAATAGTTTGAATAAGTGATAGCAATAAATTTATATTATTACCTGGTTGAATCAAAAAATGTTGTAAAACTAGAACATATCCTGCAGTTAATTGATGGAATGCGCATACTTCTGAAAATACGAAAACTTTCATAGCAAATAATCCCATTATAGATGCTAACACTTAAGCTCCACTCATAACACTAAATACTTTTATATAACTTTGATCGAAAGAAAATTAGGAATTATCAAAAAATTAAATGTAAAGCAATGTCAATATAATTGTAATAATGCATCGTTAAGTAGCAATTGTAATAATATCTATTTATTATACTAGTGAATATCCAATCATTAATTGAAATATTTAACTTACTACATAGATCACAAAGATCAGATTCTAATTAACTTTCTGTAAAATTTATGGTCTCATTCCTTCTTATGTTAATGGAGCATGAAAACTTAAAGTTGATTCCTATCTTCCTAATAGTTTATCCGAGAAATCTCTATACATATTTTTCAAATTATAATTAATATAATTAAATCACACATTTGCCACTAAATATGAAAAATCTTTAGCCATTCTAATTAGGCACTTTATCATTTTTTAATCCATTTCCATCTACTACAATTATTACCAATGTTATTTTGGTATATTTAACAAATGAAGAAGATAATAACTTATTAAAGAATATAATGAATTTTAATCCTAAAATAAACATGTAAATCTTACTCTAGGAGTATATAAAATATATTCTTATTTAACTGTTTTAATTTCTTTCTCTTTAGTTAATGCTTTGACTATACAATCACTATAATAATGAAATTAAGGTTCTGAAGCATATTATTCTAATTTTTATTATATAATTAGATTCCTATTGCTAAAGATATTTATATACTTAATTTATTCATTTTATTTTTGTGTTTGATTTGGTTCATTTTAATTTTATGAATTATTTTAATTGGTTATTTTCAATATTTCAGATTCAGAATGACCTAAACTTTCATAACCAATTAAGCTAACTTCTATTGATTTCCAAGCATTTAAATTGAGTTCATTATTTTCTTTATTTAACCTCTATTTTTCATATTTTACACATTTTAAAAGAACATTAATAAACACAGTAAATAGTAACTAAATAATAGTTAAATTATACTTCATAATCACTAACCATTTTATCATTTAAACCATCTGAAAGATATTAAGGTTTACAATTATTTTCTGCAAAATCTATTAATTTAGTTAAGAATAATTTTTTATCTGTGATAATTTTTCTATTAATTAGATTTACATCTAAAATATTACAAAATAACTCCAAAAGATCACATTCTTTAATAAATTCTAATTTTTCTTTTGTAAATTTCTCAACATTAGTAGGTGCTCGTACAGGTTCTCTTGATCTATTCTTAATTTAATTTTTAAGAAAGAAAACATCTTCCATAGTTACACTTTTTAATCCAATAGATTTTTCATGTTTATTTGAATTAATATCATAAGGTTTATTGGCAAAAAAGATATCAATTTCTATAATTTTTTATTAGAAATGTTCTTTCATCATTCTATTAACATTTACAAGATGATCTTAAAATTCTTTAACAAATGCAGGAAGAAATGACTTCATAAATAATTCTTCAGCTTTTTAATGAGCATCACTCATTTTTTTTATTAATTTAGATAAATTTAGTTCTGAATTCTTACTCTTCTATTGAATTTCATAATCTGGAGTACCATGTTAAAGCTTATTATTATAACTGGTCTTTCCAAAATTTTAAATTTACTGATAAGACATAGTTTATGCTAAACTATACTATGATCGAGTATCGTCAGCATAATATTGTCTATTTGAACCATTTTTGTATTGCATTTACCATTCATTATTATCTCCTTCTTATAAAAAATCTAAATTAATAACAATCATATATATTACGCTATTTCATTATATTTTTTCTTTAATCCTTACTCAAGATTCTTTCCCTCTCTTTTAATGTTTATCTTTCAACTGACTCTGTCTAAGTATGATTCATTTCTGATTATTGTACTTAATTATTGAATCAATTTAATACCTCGATATTCTGGCTATTATATGAACTCTTAATTTCTCTCAAATACACCAAAATTTATTTATTTATATGGTGGTTTTGCTATCACTTCTTTTTCATTCTTTCTTTCATGAAAAAAATCATAAACTGACACTACTATCACTATTGTCAAAAGCAACTTCAATATTGGATTATAAATTTAGCTTAATATACTTAATTAATACTTGTTAGACACTGCTATTCCAAATAATGAGAATACAATAAAACCTCCTAAAGTTATCTTCGTAAATGAAGATGGAGCGCTCATTTTTTTTTATATTTAATTTAATAAAAACTCTAAATTACTTAGTTCAAAACCTAATACATAAAAATTAATTATTATTTAATTTTTATTAATCTTTTCTTATATCTATTCATCTCTTTAAATCTAAAACAATCTATTACTATAATTCAATTATCAATTTTCACCATTTTTTTGTTTTCTATTCTCTCTCTACTTAAAATAAATAAAGGATATTTATGAGTATTATTGAAATCATATTTCAAATTCATTTAATCGAAGATGCAATTTATTTTTTAACTTAATTGGTTATATTATTTTTGAGCTTTTTCTCTTCTATGTAATGAATTCTATTAACTTAAAAGGAAAAATATTCAATTTTGAAAAAATTTTTATGGCTTTGATAGAAATTTAATGAAACTTATTATAACACTAGTCTATTATACTTATTTCATATCTTGTATATAGTATTATGTAGATTTTAAAAGTTAAATAATTTTAATACATTTTTTAGACTAATTTAGACTAATTAAAATTAATTGGAATTATAAGGCTCAGAATCTTTTTATTTTCATTCTATTTATTGGCTATAGCAAAATTGGTTACTGATGGATTAAGGCAATATTAAGATTTAAATTATCATTAAAGTTATTTGTTAATTTGTTACTGATTAAATAGATGAAATTTTCAAGGATTTTGGGAAAAAATAAAATTACAAAAGAATATTCTTGTCGATCTATCAATATATATAAATATAGTTAAGTCGATTATTAATCACAAAGTAAAATTAGATTTTGTTCATAATTTAAGTTGAATATTAAATTGCGGGCTTTTTTAGATAAAATTGTATTAAATTTTATTAAGATTTCTACCTAACATTTTGGTTGACTTAAAATAAATATGTAATTATGAAATATATTTTCTAAATATGTATTATTAATTATAACTTAGTTTATTAAAAAAAAAAAAAAATTTGTAACTCTAACCATTGATAATGTTTTGATGAAGTAGAATTTTTTTTAACCTAAAATCATACCAATTGACAACAACACACAAAGATATGACGCAAATATCTAAAAATGTTTCTTAAAATAATTAAACATTTTGACTATAATTATGATCATTATATTTAAAAAAAATAGATTAAATTTCATCTTGATAATGTTCCTCAGAATCTCATTTTTTTTTGAATTTTTCAACATGTTAATAGAAACCAAGTTAATATGTTTAAACTAGAAAATACAAGCCTAAAGATTTAATATTAATTAATAGACAATTTTATGAAAAAAAAAATTCAATATAATTAAATAATAAAAGAAAATGAATCCTCAAGATTGAATTGTGCAATAAAAACTATAAACTTTAAATTTAATTTTTAAGTTTCTTTTTGCATTTCTTTTTAAATATTANTAACTTAAAAGGAAAAATATTCAATTTTGAAAAAATTTTTATGGCTTTGATAGAAATTTAATGAAACTTATTATAACACTAGTCTATTATACTTATTTCATATCTTGTATATAGTATTATGTAGATTTTAAAAGTTAAATAATTTTAATACATTTTTTAGACTAATTTAGACTAATTAAAATTAATTGGAATTATAAGGCTCAGAATCTTTTTATTTTCATTCTATTTATTGGCTATAGCAAAATTGGTTACTGATGGATTAAGGCAATATTAAGATTTAAATTATCATTAAAGTTATTTGTTAATTTGTTACTGATTAAATAGATGAAATTTTCAAGGATTTTGGGAAAAAATAAAATTACAAAAGAATATTCTTGTCGATCTATCAATATATATAAATATAGTTAAGTCGATTATTAATCACAAAGTAAAATTAGATTTTGTTCATAATTTAAGTTGAATATTAAATTGCGGGCTTTTTTAGATAAAATTGTATTAAATTTTATTAAGATTTCTACCTAACATTTTGGTTGACTTAAAATAAATATGTAATTATGAAATATATTTTCTAAATATGTATTATTAATTATAACTTAGTTTATTAAAAAAAAAAAAAAATTTGTAACTCTAACCATTGATAATGTTTTGATGAAGTAGAATTTTTTTTAACCTAAAATCATACCAATTGACAACAACACACAAAGATATGACGCAAATATCTAAAAATGTTTCTTAAAATAATTAAACATTTTGACTATAATTATGATCATTATATTTAAAAAAAATAGATTAAATTTCATCTTGATAATGTTCCTCAGAATCTCATTTTTTTTTGAATTTTTCAACATGTTAATAGAAACCAAGTTAATATGTTTAAACTAGAAAATACAAGCCTAAAGATTTAATATTAATTAATAGACAATTTTATGAAAAAAAAAATTCAATATAATTAAATAATAAAAGAAAATGAATCCTCAAGATTGAATTGTGCAATAAAAACTATAAACTTTAAATTTAATTTTTAAGTTTCTTTTTGCATTTCTTTTTAAATATTACAAAATAAAGAACTTGAATTGATTTAAGTATTACTATGATAGAATAGATAAATGATTATTATGTAAGTAATAATCAATATAAATAAATATATTACATTATTTATGCAACAATATAAAAAAACTCAATATAAATTGATTTTGGTATTGGTTGGATTACCAGCAAGAGGAAAAACTCATATTTCTTATAAATTAAATAGATATTTGAATTGGATTGGATATAAGAGTGAAATCTTTTCAATAAAAGGAGCATAATAAAAGGATGATAAATTAGATTAAATTATAGACTATGAGTTAGAAATAGATCCAGAGAATTAGTAAGTAAGATAGATTTTAAATTTAGATTGTAGAAGTTAGGTAGAAACTATCTTTTTAAGCTGCTTAACAACTAGTGACTTTTTTATAAACTGAAGGTGATATTGCTTTATATAATGGATTAACTAATACAAAATGTGATAGATAAAAATTGAAATCTTTCTTCAAAGAATAACTCTAATTGGAATTTTAGGTATTTTGGATCGAATCAATTTGTGATGATCCTTAAGTAATTGTAAATAATATTAATGAATCGAAATAAAGTAGATTTAAAGATAAGACAATTGAATAATTTATGAATCATATAAATGTAATATCATAAGATTACTAAACTCTTGAAAACATAGAAAATTTATCATACATAAAACTAATTAATATAGGTAAACAAGTAAAAGTACATATGTTGGAAGGCTATTTATGTTCGAAAATAGTTTCTTTTCTTTTAAATTTACATGCAAACAATAGATAAATATATTTAGTAAGATCATGTTAAACAGAATATCATATACTTGATAAAATAGGAGGAGATCCAGAATTATCTGCAATGGGAAAATAACATAGTCAATAATTAGGAGATTATTTTATTGAAGAATTAAAAGGAAATAAAAATGTAAGTATATTTTTTAACATTTATTAGATAACATTTTTTACTTCTTAGATGAAAAGAGGAATCTAAACAGCTGATATTGTTGGTGAAAAATTAGGAATAATAGCATTGAAAACAAAAAATTTAGATGAAATAGATTATGGAATATGTGATGGATTAACAGTGAAAGAAATAGCAGCAAAATATCCAAAATAGATTAAGGAAAGAAAAGCTAATCCTCTTGAATTTAAATATCCAAGAGGAGAGTCATTCTTAGATGTAATTCATAGAGTTGAACCAATCATTTATGAAATTGAAAGATCTAGAGATCCTGTTTTAATAATAGCACATGTTGCTGTTTTAAAGTAAAGAAATTTATTAAAAAGATAGATGTTTATATGCTTATTATCATTGTAATTAAATTAGTGAAATCCCAAATATTGAGATTCCTATTAATTGTGTTATTAAGTTAGTACCAATACCTTATCATTGTCTTGAAAGTAGAGTAATTATTAAATGAAAAGTTATCATTTAATATGTATTATATATTTAAGTATTTTGAATATTATATCTAATACTAATTTTTTTAAGTATTTAAATTATTTATAATTTATTTATATATTTTCAAATTAATGTAAGTTTAATATTCAAGCGTTTTAAAGGACATTGTTAATCCAGACTTCCCATTCATGTTCTGGAATTTATTATCTTAAACTTTAGTTAAACATTTCAGATATAAGTATATTTTAAGCAGGATGATTTACTGGAAATTTATCTTTGCATTTACATGCTTAAAGGAAGAATTTTTTTTTAATTTATTCATTTTCATTAGAAAACTTGCCTTTCACATTTGAAATATAAGATTATAATTTAGAAATAACAGTGGGTTCAAATTCTCTATTGTTTTCTTAAGGTTATTATTCAGTGTGAACTTTAGATAATTTTTTAGAATTAGACAATTAAATATAAGATCTTTTTTTTGAGGAATCATAATTATTTCCTAATTCAATACCATTCTTTAAATAAACTTATTCTTATTTTACTGGTGATTTTTTTTAAATTTAGAATTCTGTTATAGGTTTTGAATTTATATTAGAGATTTTAACCAATTATTTTGGCATATTTTAAAATGATGGTGATTCAAACAATCTCTTTTTAGTAGTAGTGTTAGTAGCATAACTTATAACAGTTTAACGACTATATTTAATATTGAATATTATTATACTCTATTTATTATTCTTATTATTTAAAATTGATTTTGTTTTAATGTTATATTGTTGATGATTCTTTGACTTCTAAATGTTTCTCTTACTGTAATATCATGACTTACATCTTTCTATTAGCTATTTCTTATATTTTTTAAGCCACTGTCAACACATGATAGGCTTTAGCTAGACTTAGTATATGATTTATAATTACTATTTTAATTTAATTGAGTTTTTAAGACATATAAATCTTCAATGGTTTGAGATAGTTAATATTAATCTGATACATCAAGTATTTATTAAGTGCAATTATACAATAGTTCAATTAAACATTTGACATTTTCATCGGTGCTTGCCTCAAATCTTAAACTTAATAACTTTTTATAATTTTCTAATTTTAATTTTAACATTTGATCTTCAGAACCACCATTAGATATTTATTAACAATCTGCTATATGTAAATTAACAATATCGATGGGAATGAATTCTTCACAAATCAAACAAAATACATCTTTGACAGGTTAGACTATTAATTATGATTATTATGTTTTTAGATATGACAATTATGATTATGATTCACTTTTTAAATTTGATTTTGCTTTTGATCTATAAGAGCATTAAGATCCAGCCCATTTTGCTTTATTTGGACTATATTTAGACTTTTGTTTTTATTAATCTTATTATTTATTATTTTTTTTCTATACTTCATATTCGTCATCAGATGAAGAAGAAGATGATGATGATGATTTCTTATCAGCAACTATTGTTACTTTTTTTTATTAAGAATTATTTTATTGTTTTTTTGGAATTGATGTACTGAATTTCTTTGGAACATCACATGGTTATTCATTCTCATATACAAATCGACCTGTTTATCTTAATTAATCCTTAAAAGAATTATCACTTTTATGACTTTCATTATTCTAATCACCCATTCTATTAATAAGATCATCTATCTCTTTTAAAAGATTGTTAACACTTCTATCATCAAAATTATGTGACATTAACGGTGTTAAAAATAATTATTAATATATGTTTTAAAAGTGTTATAAATCAATAATATTGTTTCTGTTTTTTTGGATTTCATAATAAACAATAAAATACTATAAGTGAATGATTAACTATCTTTTTATCAATTTTCATTTTAAATTAATTGCTCATCAAATTTATTAATTTATAATTATACAAGTGTGATGAAATTATACATTCTTATTCTTATAGTTTGCTTAGTGATTACTTAAGCATAGGAAGACATCAAATAAGGAGAAACTACTTAATAGGAATCTGAAAATCTAAAAGATGAAACTACTACAAATACTTAAGCTGATGAAAAATTAAAAACAAGAACTAAAGAGGAAATCATCAAGGAAAGAGATACACTATAAACTTTATTAAAAACTTTGAATTATTCTTGTATTGTTCTAGCTAGAATGTAACTATCAAGATATAAGTCTGAGTTAATGAAAGTTATTGAAAGGTAATATCCTCATATATGAATATAGTCATTAAACAAAATAGGAGTAAAGTATAGTTTGGAAGAAAATATATACCTCATATGTTAATTAATGTCAAAAGAGTATAACATATGATGATAGTGTTAAGGTAAATTTGGAAATATTATAATTTATAGATCTTTTCATAAATTTAATCTAAAGACTTTAAATTTGATGATTACAGATATATATATGATAATATGACATTAGAAGATTATAGCAGTGATAAAGTTGATATGCATATTACATAAGCTGAAGAAAAAATCTGGCAATATATCTAGGATTTTGAAAAAGCTATGGATTCAAAAGATGATGAAGACGATGATTCATAATTGAAAAAGAATTTTGATTTGGAACCTAAAGTTTTTGGATTTTCTTTAAAATCAGTCAAATCTTTGTAATATATCATGTTCTTTTTCTTTATATCTTTTATTTTATTCTTAGGATATATAGCATATAACAAATTACCAAAACAATATGAAGATCAAAAAAAGAAAAGAAGAAATTGATATTCCTAAATATTGTTTTTAATTTTTATCTAATAAAGAAATATTAATCATATGATTTCTAATAAAATTTTTATTCTCAAACTCTATTATTTCTCAAATACTAATTTATTGTTCTTTTCAACCTTCTACATTTAATAACATATATTTTAATATTTTCAATATACATGAATAATTTCTATAATCTTATTATCTTATTTTTAACGAGAAGATTTGAAATAAGTTAGAACTAAGCTTTCAAAATCTTTTTAATTTAATTAGTTCAGAGAAAGAATATCATTAAATAAGTTATAGACTAGATTAATTATAGTTAAAAAAGTCCAAGAGAACAAAGCGATCAATATAATAAACCTA